GGAAAGAGGAAGAGAAGATATACTAAAAAACCGCCATTGAAGATGTTGACAACTCGTGTTTGCTTTTGGTGACAGCGGCATCTGCATGCTTCTGAAGAGAACGTCTGACTATGGACACGCACGACAGAGGTTTGACGACGCCTAAGTAATAAGGGAAGTTTTAACGTCCAACACTGATATTGCAGGTCTTGCAGCTAGGATCTTTCTTTGCGTTTGCAGTAGACAAGCTCATTAGTTGGTGCCCAGTAATTTCTGCAACTGTGCCAAGGGAGAGATCCACAGGATCAGTGTAAATGACTTCCAAAATAACATCTTGGGCATGATGGTAAACCAGTACGCCGTCTTCTTCGTTGCAGGTCAGAAATTTATTATCTTTTATATTCAGTTGAGGAAGGCGCTGCTTACAGAAGTCATCTCCCGGTGAGCCAAGAGGGGCGATAACGAGAATGACGTAGTGGTAGGCTGTGTACATGCAGTAGAAGTCTCCAAAGTACAAGTTAGTATTGGGGTTGAAGAGTTTTTCAGCTGCAATCTCAAACCTGTATCTTCCATAAGGTGAATCCTGTGGTGGCTTCCCCGTGTTAAATTCAGTGTTGCAGCTAAAGAAGATGCCTTCCAGCTTCCCACTGATAGGAGAGCCATGGCTGCCACTGTTATCCTTAACAGAGGGCTGCATAGCATTTCCGTGATGCTCTCTACAAATGAATGACTGGTATTGTTTATTTTGTAACACAGTTAAAAAAGGGTAAGCAAGTTGGGAACTCACACCCTTCAGTAACAGAACTGAAGGGACACACCGACACACACACAGACAAAATGAAAACCGTGGTTAGTGGTGTGATCTTGGGAGCAAGAAAGTCAAATGTACCAAGCCTCAGAAAGAGCTGGAAAACTCATGCTAGAGGAAAAAAAAGATTGCGTTTCCAGTCTGGCTCCTCTGCCAGCTGTGAGCTGCGTGGGTATGATATGAAGGCAAAGAATAGCACAAACAAAAAAGACCCCCCAAACCACCAGTATGTTTAATTAGCTGATTTGTTTAGCTTTCCACCACAAGTCTAACAATAAATACATTTTAATCACGTGTTGAAAATTACAAGTGAATCATCTCAATGATGTCCTGAACAGCCTGTTTGTTAATGCATATTTTTAGCAGCGGCACTATGTATGTCATACAGAAGACAGCCAGTGAAAGTTATTTCTGAAAGATGTTTTTCAGAGAGCATATAGGAAGAAATGTACTGCCTGCTATAATTTTTTTCCCCCAAAATAATAATTTAAAGTCTAATTTGTCTACTGCTGACTTCAGTCAAAGCAGAGCTAAGTGCAGAATATTAGGTAATTTGGGTCGTTTCCACTTTGGTTGGTGTCCAGCCCCTGCAGGCACTAGCTCTAAGGGGAAGCAATATACAGGCCCAACTTTGCTTTTTGCAAGCTGAGCTCAGTTTGGGCGCAGTGAAAAGAAACGTTCAGCATTACAAGTGAATAGTTAAACCACTAAATCCCAAATTGCATGCAGCAGCAGTAGGCTGCTACATTTAGGCCAACAGGCCAAAACACCCCCATTTAATCCTCTTTCTTTAGCACCTGAGATGATTTTATGTATAGCAGGACGTGCCTCAGAACTTGTGCCCTACACTTGTGACAGCTTTGGCTCGCTGCACCTGCAACCATGTGAGTTCACAAATGAAAACGGTCCCTCTGGTGAGGCCCGAAAAGGACTAGCTTTATTAACACCCTTTGAACAGGCCTTGTGTACACGGAGAGTCTAAAAAAAGTTGTGGGAGACTCTCAGAGCGCTAGCTCTCTCTGCCTTTTCTTTTTTTTTCTTTTTTTTTTTTTTTTTGAGGTGTGATGTTATCCAAGAGCGAATGCTGGCTGGCTCTTTCTTTCTTTTCTTTCTTTCTTTTTTTTTTTTTTTTTAAACTTGCAACAGCTCCAGGTAAAAACCAGACCATGTGGGAAAGAGGTTATTCCAAAGTACTTTTAGTCCTGTTGAAGTGGAAGTAGCAATCAACAACGCAGGCAAATTTAGTGCATACGCATTCAATCTTAGATTTCTAATCTCCTCAGCAGACTATTTTAATGTGATGATACTAAGATAAATGTCAAAAAGTTTTTTGGGGCCAGTCTTAATACTACATAGTTACTATCACAAACCCTATTTTGCAAGACACTTTTTTTTTTTTTAAACAACTGGTATACTATGCAGTAAGCAAGTATTAGGGAGACAAAATCAACCTGAATAACCACCACCTTTTGCAACCTGAAAAACTGGGCTTGCCGTTTCATTTCTGTAGCAAGATGCTGACATCCAGTGGCCATTTAGGCTAATTATAGGTCACGCCTCCCCAGGGATCTAAGGCACTTCCAGTGGAGGTAAAAAACCGAATGAGGTGGGTAGATGGATGGATGTTAGTTACAAGGCCGCATTTTAAAAACCCCATGTTTAGGGGGTTGCTGCTGTAGCAACGGTGACAGCTGCTTGTTTGCTTATGCTACTAGAGCTACTCTATTAGCATCTTCAAGCTATGACACCACATAGGCTATATGCCAAGGGTTTTTTGGTTGTTGTTGTTGTTTTATTTTGTTCCCCCCCTAAAAGGAAGCATGTGATTTGGGTTTTTAACATAGCAGTCACACGTGTGCATTGTGGAAAGACTACCACTTGGGACCATATGCTTCTGGTCAGAAAAGCCTACTATAAACAAACAGTTACGGGTATTGTAACTTCGTACTGACCTGGTTAAAAATGCAGATTTTTGTCTCTTTAATACATTAACAGAAGGAAAAACAAACTTCTTATATTGGGCTTGTGTCAAACCACCGAAGAACATGAGCGAGGGGAGAAGATAAAGTGCAATTAAAGCATCACATTTGCTGGAACAAGGCCAAAAAAGCCCCACCGCTATAAATGCACCGCAGTGGCAATTTTCAAAGCTCTGTGAACACAAATGCAGGTGTGCTATGATTATGTAGCTAAAAACAAAGCGTCAGAAACACCAGACATTCCTCTCCTACCATCCGTAGTCCAGGAAGGCAGCAGAGGTTTATTAGGGCCTCAGCAACTTCAACTCATCCTATGCCTTCATTGGGCTTTGCAGCTCTGTCACTATGTATGTATGTATGTCTAACAATGTAATTCTTAAAGCCAACAAGAAACCTCATGCTCACAAAACTCTTTTGGAGTTTTGGAATCCAATAAGTAAGTAAATACGCACAACAGCACATCTGGAACATTTCCAAACACGGTGCCTTCTCTTTGGAATTGAACCCATCCAGTATTTCTTTTCCTTGACCAGTTTTTACAACTCTTCTAGCTTATTACAGGTACTAGCGTCACACTCACGTGAAAGTGGAATTACGTAGTACGGCAGCAGGCCCAGCTCTTGCGATAAATAGAGGAGCATGGGTGAAAGTCCTGAAAGAGCGTGGTCAGTGGTGCCTCCCTTCTTCTGATAAACAGTACTTAAATGCATGTTGCCATGCTGCTTACCTCTGATCCATGTTCTCCTAACGGTGTAAGGTTGCCGCTGCAGGGTAGCTGCTCAGTCAGCGTGCGAGTTTTGACACCTTCTATTGCAAAGCTGTCTTTTCTATTGCACCGGGGCTGCTGGTTGTGTGCGCAAAGCACACTGGGTCTTCAGC